AACCTACCGCCAGTGTGTCAAAGGCAGACCATCCGAGTGTGACATGCCTGCATAAAGAGTTACCGTCCTCCAGGAAGGAGGCAAGGTTAGGTAAGAAATGGAGATCCAGTGTCTTCTAATGTGATTTAGAAAGAGCCATCGCAAAAACCCCTCTCCCGGAAGTCAGCCCAGTGTGGGGAGCCAATGCATTAATTCACCTAGGCAGAGAGTAGATGCTGGTTCCTGGAAGCACAGGCTTTGGCAACCTCGCCAGGGATCTGTCAGGTGGGCAGGGAGGAGGGAGATGCAGCTTCATTCAGCAACCAGTGGCCCTCTCTGGGCACAGCAAAGGCCGTGTCCGTTTTTCACTACTGCTGAATCAGAAACTGATTCAAAGTCCTTTTCTGCTAGCCCAGGGATAGTAGAAGGTGGCTAAGACACCAAGACCTCCGCCCAGGTTAAATGGGAAGGCAGAGCGAATTCCCCTAACTGATGTGCATGCCGTGATAGCTTCAAGAGGCTGAGGAGAGAGCTTATAGTTCTGGGATGTTTCTCTTTATGGTCCTAATGGCACTCAAGTCATCCTGAGGATTAGTCTGGGTTCATACATAAAGAAGATGCAGAGCCAGGAGGATTGCGAGTTCAAAGCCAGCCACAGAGAGGCACTGAGCAACTGGGTGAAACCCTGTCTGTAAATAAAATCCAAACTAGTGCTGGGGATGTGGCTCGGGGATTGAACTCAGGGGCACTCAACCACTAATACTACCACCCTCCCCCCACCAAAAAAAAAAATAGATCCAGAACAGGGGTTTTTACTTATCACCGTTGCTAGGTATAACCCAAAGCAAGCAGACAGTGACTCTTTGCCTCTTGGAGTTCTTTTTTGGGTGTAGGGATTCTTCTCTGGAGTCCTGTGGTTTGTAAGGTACACTCTGGGCAAGCCAAGTGTTAAAAGCAAATCCCAGAAGATGCTCAGCTTGGAGACTGAGTGTGCCCCCAGGATTGGGGGAGGCAGTGAGCTGTGGTGTATACTTCATGCCTGGTGACAAAATGGTGACCCAGTATCCCTAGGAAGGTTGACTCTTGGATTTCCCCCATGCACCCTGTATTCTCAGCATGTCTAGTTGAAGGAAGGAAGGACTGGCTCAGTGGTTGGAATAGTCTAGAGTTCTCTTGCTCCGGATTTCACTTCCAACCTCCGTTACTGTTTTTCCAAAGATGGGAATCATATGCCTGTTTAATTTTAGGTGACCTACACTGATCTCTGTATAGGTCATTCTCTTTTTATCCTTCTGAATAGGTCAAGTGGAGAGTCTCAGGTTCGTGCTGAAATTAAATGCCTCTCTGAGAGTGGCCCGCCCGCCTCACTTTCTAACAAAGAGAAAATAACTTCAGTCCTGATGACTACCAGCGTGCTGGAATTTTACCAGCACAGTTTTATTTTTATTATTACTATATTTTCATGCTTAACTTCTAATTACAAGTAGTTTTTTTTCATCAAGGCTAAGATACACAGTTTAAGACTAATGTACCCAAACTTAAAAAGTGAATCAGGTAAATGATGCCCTTGGTGATCTTCTATGACAAAATGCATGCAATTTGGGAACCCCTGAACCTGCCCAAGGTTGCATTTCTTGACCATGAGTTCAGATGGTAGAGAACAGAGGGAGGAGGGCAGCCTGGTTGGAATCAGTAAAGTCAATGTTGGGGGAATCTGGGCCATTTTGATTCCTGGTACCTGGATACAGCATGAAGGGAGGCAGGGGTCACAGAGGGGACCTTACAGGGAAGCCAGAGAGACCAGCAGATAAGATAAAAATCCTAAAAAAATGTTTGAGGGGTCCTAGGAAAGGGAGAAGGGACTGGCTGGAAGAGGGAGCTCTTTAAGCAAAGTGAGCAGTACAAAGATCAGGAAATGGCCTTTGGGTTAGACAGCCTAGGCCCACCATGTACCTTAGAATAACACTTAACATCACAGAGCCTTGGTTTTCTCTTCACTGGCAACACAGGATTATCATAGAATCTGTCAGTAAGAATTGGCTTTAGTCATCCATGCTGGGCTGTGCCCCATCCTGTCAGCTCCTATGTGTGGAGAATCATCTGGTCTTGCAGAGCAAGTGCCAAGTCTTTGAACTTGCTCTGCCTAAGACTGACTTGCTCCTGAGGGTACGATCAGGATAGCTGGGAGAGGCCAAGTTGATCTGAATTTCAGATAAATAATGGATTTTAAAAAAAATTTATTGCTCTGTTTAGTAAAAAAATTTCAATATTCCATGAACCATTTAACACTGTATAAAAATTCAGTGTGTAGAGGCATTTTGAAAAGGGAAGTTAGGTGGGTGTGAAAGAAGATGAGGAATAACCTAAGGACCAAGTTTCTGTCCCCCTTTGTCTCTAGAGGGAGGTATATTCATCCATGCAGGTAAAGGGGATGTTCTTGGTAAAATTGAAGGACCCTAAGTGTAAGTCCCTGGTCTCTAAGGTGCTAACTAAATCCCCACAGCTCAGGAGGTCATTAGTTTGGTCTATAAACAACACCCTTAAAGAGAGATACAAATATCTGTTAATTTAAAAACACACAGGCAGGCTTGACAGTAGCTTGTAGGATATTTCTTAGGGTGAATGTCTTTCTGGCAAGACTCATAAGACAAATGGCTTTACCTGGAAGATAGGAGATGTCAGGCCTCAGGGCAAGACAGAAGCAAAATCAGGTTGTAAGTTTAAATCTTCTTAAAACATCTAGAAAATGCATTCAAATATAGACCCTTAGAGTTCAGCAAGCCCCAGGAAAAACCTAGAGCCTTCTTGGCTCTGCCTGAAAATACCCATTATATAGGTAACTCAGAAAACAATTTCAGCCTAGAAAGTCAAGCCTGAACATCTGTGACCCCCATTTGAACAGGGCACTCCAAAATGACATGTTCTCTTTCAAAGGCGGTATTCTGAGAGGAGAATAGAAAGAGGTTTGTAGTCATGCCCATAGACCAAAGTTCATTTTATCGGTCCTTTTTTTTTTCTTTTTTTTTTTTAAGAAAGAAGATGAACAGTGGAAAAGGTTAAAAATAATATATGAAAGACAGCTTTTGCTACACCATGCTCTGTGCCTTCAGGCAACTAAGTGCAGAGCTGACACACAGATGACAGGGAGAATGAAATGAGCTTTCTAGATGCAAGTGCCTGAGCCTTCACCACAATTGCACAGAACTTGGAGGGGAGGAACTCTGGGGTCTCTAAGTACTTTGAGAAGGGGGTTGGGGAGAGAAAGGACAAGAAATGCACATAGATTTTAAATTATCTAATAAAACTTCCATTTTGAAGTAAAAACAGACGTTCCCTCTTACATGCAGGGGTTATTTTACAGTATCTGCCCCAAGTAGATGTCTAAAGCCTGAGATAGCATATATGGAGTTTGATACTATGTTTTTCCTCTGTATATATACCTAGGATAGTTTAATGTATAAATCAGATACATTAAGGCATTAACAAAAATGAATAAAACAATTATAAAAATACACTATATTAAAAGTTATGTGGGGGTTGTGGCTCAGTGGTAGGACACTTGCCTAGCTCGTGTGAGGCACTTGGTTAGATCCTCAGCACCACATAAAAATAAAGGTATTGTGTCTGCCTACAACTAAAAATTAAAAAAAAAAGTTAGGTGAATATTAACTCTCTCAAAATATCTTATTGTACTAGACTTGTGATGCTACTTAAAGGAAGCACTCTGCAGCATTCCTCAAGAGTCACTTAAACATTGGAAAGTTTATCTGACAACTCTGATGTGACTAACAGGAGGGTAGTGTATACTGTGTGGATAAGTTAGAAATGTTTTTCGTCTCGGGGGAGATAGAGCAGGAGGGCATGCAATGTAAAATTTATGAATGGCTTATTTCTGCAATTTTCCATCTAATATTTTTGCACTGTAGTTGAGGGAGGGTAACTAAAACTAGGGAAAGCAAAACCCTGGGTAAGGTGCAATGTATTGTTTTCCAGCCAAAATCATGACTACTAAGTGGTTGGCAAAACTTTATACAATTCAATTGCTACCAGTATTTGCTCAATAATTTTGTTTTAAATTAGTATCTGCTCCAACAACTTATAAACAGGCTAAAGGAAGAAGCATCTAATTCTAAAAGGAAAAAGAATTATTTAAAGGATGTTTATCTGAGGTCCATTAAAGTGTATGACAACCAGTTGTGCATACCTGCAATCCCAGCGACTCAAGAAGCTGAGGCAGGAGAATCACTAGAGGCCAGTCTAGGCCACTTAATCTTAAAATAAAAGGGGTAGGTATGTTGCTTAATGGTAAAGCAACCCTGAGTTCAATCCAGTACCAAAATAAAATAAAATGCAGGACAGCCAGTTTACATTTGAATTTCAGATAAACAATAATTTTCCAGTCTGCTCCCAGTATTGCATGGCAATCCTACTTATGAACAAATGTCAGAAGATCAATGTATAATATCCATTGGAAAAAAAAATTATTCTAAGCATGAATTCTAAAAAAGGAGATTGTAGCTTTCTACCACAATCTTATTCTAGCAACAGTTAAACATCATTAATGCAAAATCTTAATAAGTCCTAATTTTTCCCTGTCGCCTGAGCTTCCTAGCACCTTAAGAAAAAGAGAAATTTACCAAATAGCAGCAACAGAGAAAGGAGTCTACCTGGGTGAGGCTGAGGGACAAAGAATCTGGAGCCTGAGGGCACTGTCGCACCTTTAGAGGGTTTGGACATTTCAAACAAGCAGGTTTGCTTTACCCACCATCTGCTGTGTAGCTGTTGGAATGGAGAGCCACAGCCCTGGAGGAGAGACAGGGAGAGCAGGTCTGGAGCGGAAGGGTGCTGGAAAAAAATTCCTTAAAGAGCCTAGTTTTCTCCACTTTAGCTGTTGAGACTTTTGCAGCCACCAGCTGAAGATATTGGTTAAGCTGCTTATCTTTGTCCCCCTTCCCAGCCAGGAGACCCTTTCCTGAGGGCCAGCAGAGTGTTTGGGTGATGACAAAGTGCACAGTCTTTACCTGTCATTGAAAGTAGACCCTCAGAGCTGCAGCTTCCGCCGCCATTTCCTCCTCTGATCTCCAGGAGGCTGGGGAGTCCACTCCCTCTTTGTCATGTTTCTGGAGCTTTGGAGAGAAAATGGGATTGGCTCATTAATGGGATCTCATTGAATAAATGTTGGGAGGACTGCAGATTAGCTGCTGGTAAGTGTGTGTTTCTTAATTAGGTTAATTGCCAAAATTCGAAAATAAGGAGACCACACAAATGAATCCACATTTCCAGCTTTTCTGAGAAAACCAGATTAGGTTACATGGTAGCCTTCTGCTGGGGACAGAGTGAGGTGGCTAGTTGTTGGGGGGCCTTCTGCCGTTCACAGTCCCCCTACTCTTTAGCTTTCTTAGGTGTGGCAGGCATCATTCATTTATTTTACTTCTCAAAGTCTAAAAGTATGAATTTGCCACCTACCAGTGGCCATTTCCCCCAGGCTGGCCTACCTGCCACCGTCTTCTGCTTAGCCTCTCACATGAGCTCTGAGTACCTGTTCTGTGAAACAATTGTCCAAGCAAATTTATGATAACAATACAGGGACGATGACTACTGAGTAAGAAAGGAGCATTTCCAGCAAGAGAGGCCTTGAGCCGGCAAACAAGTTGATGAGAAAACCATTTAACACTTGGTTTCCGTCAATTATTTTGAAATCCTCCTCAGATACTCATATTTTTTATACATCTTGTGTAGGTCTCATGATCACATATAGAGTGAATAAAACTTCTATCAGAAGTTTTCAGAACTCTTTTTTCTTATGTAAGTCTGTTATTCCTCCATGTGGTTCTACACATTCTAACATGCTGAAGGTGTACCTTCCCCATAATATATAGTATTTTGTGTTAAGTCCCTTGAGGTGAATGATGTAAAGAGCAGTTTAAAATAACCCATTAGACAGTTTTTACTTTTTTACTAAGACCCGTGGAAGTAATATTCACTTGTGAAAAGTCATCCAAGCAGTAATGGTAGGCATGAGGGTTGTCCCTAAAACCTTCACCTGTGGATCCTGGAGGGTCCACTTTCACATGGATTAAACATTCAGATTTGTTATTTTTTTTTTCGTGGATTGAGCCTGTAACTAAAATCGTGGTGGTCCCTGTCCCCAATGCCAATTTAATAACTAGGAGAAGGTTTATTCCTTTGCTAGCAAAGGAGGGCCTCGGGTCCCAAAGGCTGTGACTTCCCCCATCAGGAGGGACAGGGGCTATTTAAAGGAACTTAAAGGGTGACATTCCAGGTATACTCTGGTAGGGGGTCCAAGGGCACTGTGATGGTTGTTAGGATTCACTTCCCAGATCCATCAACTACAGGAAGAAAACTTTTTTTCTTTTTTTTTATAAAAATAAACCTTAGAGCAATGAGGGCTATGTTCAGAAGGTGAAGGGACCACTGAGCTATATCCCAGACTTTTTTGTTTTGAGAAAAGTTCTTCCTAAATTGCTAAGGGTGGCCTCAAATTTGTGATCCTCCTGCCTCTACCTCCCAAATTGCTGGGATTATGGGTTTGGCTGAAAGTCCATAATTAAAGTTCACTTTCACATATTTTGATCACAAACAGCACCGTTGCATCAATTGATCAGAACTTACTCGCAAGTCCATAAATAACTTCTTTCTTGACCTGAACCTAAAATAGGTCTGAGAATGCCTTTGCTCAACAAGTAGATATTTTTGTGATTTATATTTTTAGGACCTGATTACAAGGTGATGTCTAGATGAAGTAATCAAACCTTCAATGTCACCCCATGAATACAAAGCAGAATGACAAAACCCCCTGACAGAAGATATTAGAGGTCTTTCATCAAAAACAAAGAAGGAAAATGACCCCTAGTCACCAACACAAAGGAGAACCAATGACACCCTCTTAGATCATGTCTGTGCTATAAATCTTCAGCGTAAAAACACGCCTACCTAAGGGGTAGCTAGCATGTTCCTCTTCAACACCTGCACTCTGTCTTTTTCTCTGAAATCAAGTGAGTCATAACTCACTCTGACCCATTATTAAATCCTAATCAAGGACCCTCACAGCCTGAATGGAGGTTCACCTCCCTTTTGACCTCTGTTCTGGTGAGGATACTGTCCCACTCCTCCACACATATTCACACCAAAATCAGAGCCTTTGCAAATAATCTTGTCTAAAACTAATCCAGAGACCTCACCCTGACAGCTCCTGGGAGGTGAAGAAGTTTCCCCCTCCATTTCCGGCAAACTTTGCTACAGAAGGCAAAACAGAGAGAGAAAGACAGCCTTGCTCTCCAGCTGAGCTCTATTTCCACACTAAGTCAGAGCCTAAATGACACTCATTAGCATATAACTGGGCCACAAATATGTTTATGAGGGTCATGGATCTTCCTTTCAGAATTTGGCTGCCAGCATACTGGTTTTACATTTTTGCCACATAGATTTAATTCTCCTTAGTGGAAGAAAACCACATTAAGAAGTCATTTCCTTCCTCACAGAGGCAGTGATGAGGAGATGACGTGGTTGCTACAGGCAAAGAGAGTGGGATTGCTATTCCACTCAGGAACTAATTTTCATTTCGATACTACCTTTAGGTCTGCTATAAATCCATCTTGTAACAACTCAATGGAATGACAGAGAACAATGCAAAGCCTAGAAAATACGGTCTTCCCACTTGTGCTCCTGCCATGGGAAGACACAGAAATCAAGCATTAAGGGGCTTCAAGCGACTGGAATCACACCAGATGAATCCAAATAATTTAGAGTCTGCGACCACTAATGCCTTCCTGGTTATGGGGCGACCGTCTGTTATTGTCATATGCCTTACAGATGGCACCATTGTGCCCACCCTTGGAAGTTGTTTACAGGAACTAGGAAATAAAACAAAAACTAATCATATTGGAAAATTCTGTTTTTACATGGTTTTTAAAGTGTAGGCTATTTCCCTCCTAAAGGCTCCCAAATGAAAGCATGTGGTTTTCTTTAGAACAGCCCAACCCTGGGTGCCCATTGGAATCAACTAGGAAACTTGAAAATACAAAACTCACCCCAGGGATTCTGATTTAATGGGTTTGGAGATTTTAAAATGTTATATATGTGTATGTGTGTATATATATATATATATATATACACACACACACATATATTGCCTGAGAACTATATATTTTACATATGTATAAAACATATAGTTCTCAGGCAATTCCAATGGTGCACTCACCATTCATAAGCACTGCAGAAGGAGATGCATTTCTCTGCGTAGACAGAACTCACACACCAATACAAATATAGTTGTCAGCCTGTGTCCATGGGGGATTGATTCCAGAACCTTCCTGTAGGATACCAAAATCTGCACGTTCTCAAGTCCCTTGTATAAAATAGCAAGAGTGTTTACATGTAGCCTATGTCCATCCTCCAGTATACATCAAGTCATCTCTAGATTACTTATAATATCTAATATTACAAGGTTTAAAAAGAGTTGTACTGGTTGTTTAGGGACTAAGGACAAAGAAAATGTCTATTGTACATGTTAAGTACAGATGCGTTGTTTTTTTTTTTTTTATCTGCAGTTTTCCATCCATGGGGTTGAATCCCGAGAAGGGGAACCATGGATATGAAGAACTCACTGTAATACATTTATTCTTATCTATTGCTTGCAACTGTATCAAATCTGTCCTTTGCAAACCAAGCTGCAGAACTACTTTTCTTCTGTTTACCTTAGGTCAAAGTGAGGACTGAGCTAGAGGCTTTGGATGCTTAAGATGTTGATCAGGAGCCCTGCACAATAGCGCAAACCTATAATCCTGGAGGCTGAAGCAGGAGGATAGCAAGTTCAAAGCCAGCCTCAGCTAGTTAGCTAGGCCTTAAACAACTCAGAGAGACCCTGTCACTAAATAAAATATAACAAAGGGCTGGGGATGTGGCTCAATGGTTAAATACTCCTGGGTTGAAACCCTGGTACCAAAACAAGAAAAAAAAAATTACTGACTGGTCAGTCAGGAACCCCTGAATGAATATGTAGTCTCTGTAGGAATGGGGAGCCTAGGGAAGGCCCTGATGATTGGTAAGACTTGTGTCCTAGACAATCCACTCAAGTGACTTGGAAATTAAACCTGCTGCAATTGAGAATAAAATTCCACTTCCTGTAAGCAAACTAAGAACCTGGAAGCCCTAAGAATTTGAAACTGTATCTTATCCAAAAGGTATTGTTTGCCTAGGGTGAATTTTCATAGCCCAGTGTGGTTTTAGATGAACCTGCCACAAGACTTTAGGTTGCCCTAAGGAAAAGGTGGAGTCTAGTCATTAACATACCATTTATTTAATCTGCTCCTGCTGGGGCAGACAGCAAGTGGTTGATTTTTAGTGAGATGGGATTAGCAAACGGGAATGGCACTGGGTGAGGCTCACATGCCTAGAAAGGTTTTAGACAGTCAGCTTTCTCTCACCAAGAAACTTGTGAAAGTGTGGGGAGGGGAGGGGCTCATCTCAGGAATAGCCAACTTCTTGGGTATCCCCTGAGAAGATGAGGTGTAGTCCGTACTTGAATAATGAGAAGAGCAAGTACCTTAACCTCCTTGTGCCTCAGATTCCTTTCTCTGCCCAATGGAAGCAGTAAGAGTTGGGAGCAGTTATGTTCCTCATACACATTAAGTGGGCTCAGTGTTCCCTGGTTCTGCTGGCTCCTACCATTGTTATTATGAGTAGTAGTATTTTGGGGGATAGATACACTGTCCCCATCACAGGGACCACCCCTGAGAACTTGCTTTTAGTTAGTGAAAGTACTTTCATGGTTCTACTGATATCTGTATCTTTGGGACCTGAATACCCTCTGGAAGGATGAAACATTCAGATCTGTGCCGATTAATTGAAATAACCATCCAAGTCTGAGAAGGAAATTTTGCTAAAATGATGATCCCTAGCTCTCAGGGTTGTCCTGAGAAGTGAAGAAAGTATTAATGGAAGCTTCTCCCAGGTGAATGTTAAGGTCCTACAGTAAAAGTATGTGGTAAAGGTCAGAAGCAATCAAAATTATCCTGGTTGCTCAGTTTAGCAAATAAGAATACAAGACACTCAGTTTTTCTTAAAGGTGTACGTACGTCTCTGTCTCATACATCATTTGGGACAT